GTATAATAGGTTCTGAACAGTTGCATTTGAGTGTAAGAATAGTTGACTCAAGCTTTCTCAGGATCTTAAATAAAATCTCTGTAGATAAAGGAGAAAACAAGTGTAAGATCCCTGCATAAAGATGAACGACACTTAGTCATGACATGACAGCTCGCGTAGCCCCCAAACAATTCTGATGCCTGTAAACTCCCATGCTCCTTCTGTCTACCCAAAACTGTGGAAATGTGCTACTGGCCAGAAATAGCATAGTTCATCATTACACTGGTATGGATGGGGTAGGTACCACTGGGATAAATCCAAAGCCATAGGAAAATGTCAGCTCATTTTTCCTCTCTCTCTCTCTCTCTCCTTTAAGTATTTGCTTTCCTGAAATGCAGAATTGCACATGGAGAAGGGGAGACACAGAGTGAAAGGGTTCTTCTATCCACTAATCCATTTCCAAAATGGCTTCAACAGATGGTGCTAGGCCAGGCTGAAGCTAGGAGCTACACGTCTGATCAGGGTCTCCCATATGTGTGCAGGGGGTCTAGGAACTTGGACCGTTTCGCATTGCTTTCCAAGGCACATTAATAGAAACTGGAAGAGAAGTGGAAGAGCCAGGACTAGAACTGGCACCTACATGGGATGCTGGAATTGCGGGAAGATGCTTAACCTGCTGTGCCCTGCATCAGCTTTCTTCTACTTTGTTTCACAGTACTTGGGGACCTCAAAGATAAAAGCACACATCTGTAGACTCTGAACTTCTCACCATTCCTGAGCTTACAACAAACAGCTAACTTTTACCAAAGACAATTGCTCTCCTAGCTGATCCTTTTAATTTAGTATTAAGACTGTCCAAAAGCCAGTTAATATAAATTACAGCAAATCTCAAAAAACAAGTAAAATTTCTAAATGGCAGAAATAACTCAACCATGAGATGAAAAAAAACATTTGACTTGGTAGCGGGTATTTGTGTTAATAGAACTTGTTGATAGTCTACTACAATTATATTTCTGACAAGTTTAGCTGGTGATGAGAGCTCAAACCAACTAGGTTGGGTAAAGGATACCAAAACACAGACAAGTAACAAGTTCTAGTGTTGGGAACAACTACAACTCATGGTCAATTATTATGTTAAACTTAAAGAACTGGAAGAAAGAAGCTGATAGACCCCAAACACAAAGATGAAGTAAGGAAAAAGAAACCCTAATTGCCAGTTTTGATTGATTTATGCCATATATATGTGTTGACAGCACTATACCCTCTAAAAAATGTACAAGTATATACGTTAAACAGTTTTTAAAACAAGATGATTTAAGAAAAAAATTAATTATTTTAAATTTTAATCAATGCTGGCTTATTTCCCAGGATTGGTTAATTTCTTCCTATGAGAAAGATAATTATGTGTCTGCTATGTGTCAGAACCTCTTTGACTAACTTTATGTGGGAACAAGAAAACAACATAAATATGACTTTCCAGTCTCAGAGGAGCTGAGGGACATTCCTTTAGGATGTCTGTATCCCCGATCAGAATGCCTGGCCTGAGTCCTTGCTCCCTCACCCCTAATCCAGCTACTTGGGAGCTCAATCCTTGGGTCCCATGCACCCAGATGAGAAACACAGATGTGGCTTCTGGCTTCCAGCTTTGGCCTGGCACAGCCTCAGCTGCTGTGGGCATCTGGGACGTGAACAGTGGATGGAAAGTGAATAGTAGATGAACAAACTGTCTCTCTTTCAAATTTGGTGAAAATAAATAAAAAATATTTCCAGGCTTCGTAAAAGATTACATTTTAGACAATAGAGACAGAGAATAAAAATGAACTTAGTAAGTAATGTACATATAATAGATGTCTAAGAGTCTCCATGAAGAAATTAAGGTCACACTCTTTGGTCATTTAGATGGCTCAGTCCTTTGCGGACACAATGCCAATCATTCCACAGCAGACCTCTGCAGTGCAGTCCAAGGTGTACTTCTACCAGCTAATATGAAAAGATTTGGTTAACATGAACCATGCTTCCACCAGTGTCTGTAGTTCACAATCTTTTTCTTTGAACAAATGCTCCAAAAGGCCTCCTCTATCCTTCAGAGCCTTCAGTGCCTTGTCCTGTCATTCCTGATGACTGTCCCTTCCACGGAGACCAACCACACAGTATCTTGGACAAGGACTGTACTCATCGCTGGAGATAGTATGGTTAATAAAGACACAATCTTCACCCCCCAACAACTGACCATCCAAGAGAAGGAAGACAACGAGAGATTGTAGCTTTCACGGACAGAACTAAAGACAAGAAGGAGGCAGGTGTGCCCAGAGGGGAACGTGTCCACCCCTCTCTGGATAAGGCCACCCTGAGGGACAGCCTTGCTGAGTCTAGGAGGTTGGGACATGGACAGGTGGCTTAGCAGATTTGATCAGCAGCCCTGAGCACAGCCTGAAGGTTAAGTCAAGGCGAGGCATATGAAGAAAAGCAAAGGGACCGAGGAGCAAAAGAGGACGATGCTAATAACCCAGCCCAGGCCCCAGCTGTGCCCTCAAGCTGCCGACAACCCTCCCCACTCCACAACAGCCAGACACATTACCAGTGAGTCGTCCAGCCTTAACATACACTCTTCCAATGTTCATGCTTGTCTCAAAGTAGCAAAAACACTTCACAAACACACACAAAGAAAGCTGCCCTCATGTTTACACAAGCTGGGAAAGAGAAGGGACGATTTGATATCTCACGTTAAATACCCACAAAATGCGTGTTCCTGAATTCATACAGAATACTTTATTCTTAACCATGTTCACCGTCCCCTAGCACCACCACATCATCAGCAAGAGGACACTGTGCCTTGCGAAGAATCTTGACACCCAACATGGTAGTGTGCTCCTCTGACTCCTAGCTAGTTCGGGAACTGCTCAAGGGCATTCAATTAAGGGCTAAAAAACAAATAAATGAATTAACCACCAAATTTTTCCCCACAACTCCAAGCTCATGTAACAGATAAAGCCCGTTCATTCAAAAGCAATTATAGCAGGAAGATCTTTTCAACTTGCTCCTCTCAAGCACAAATCCAAACTCTATCAATGGGCACACAGACTAAACACAAAAGAGTCAGAGGAGAGTGATTTTAAATTTAAAGATTCAAATAAACAGTTTTCCACCGTCATAAATTTGCTGAGTATGGCAGTGCCAATCGAGTCACACACACACACACACACACACACACCCCAGTTTGGAAAGAAAAAAAATGTTGTAACCCAAAATAATATGGCGAAAAAACTTTCTGCAGAACTTTCAGAACTCGTTTTAAGCCCTCACCTCCTCCAAATGAATACAGAAACATGCAGTGCCCTGGCCAAGGCTGAAATGCAAATGACAAAAATGGAAGAGAATTCTGCTTCAAAAAAGACAGAGGCTGGGCCTGGCGCAGTAGTAGCCCAGTGGCTAAAGGCCTTGCCTTGCAAACACTGGGATCCCAAACGGGCACTGGTTCTGATGCTGGTGCCCCTGCTTCCCACGCAGCTCCCTGCTTGTGGCCTGGGAAAGCAGTTAAGGACTGCCCAAAGCCTTGGGACCCTGCACCCATGTGGGAGACCCAGAGGAGGCTCTGGGCTTCTGGCTTTGGATCAGCTCAGTTCCGGCTGATGCAGACCCTTGGAAAGTGAATAAACGGACAGAAGATCTTCCTCTCTGTCTCTCTTCCTCTCTGTATACCTGACTTTCATATATATATATGTAATATATATATATATATATATATATATATATATTAATCTTTAAAAAAGACAAAGACAATTGTTCAAACAGTAGATAATCACTGGCATGTGAATCCTCTGGACAGATAGTCCTGGGCTCAGGGATCCCGAGGTGTGCCTGGGAGCAGTCACACACCATGAGCCTCCCATGGCAGCTGGACCAGGCACCGCCCCTTTCCTAAGGCTCTCTCATGGCTGTCTTCTCGCTGATTCCAAACTGTGAGGGACACACATGGCAGGCAAGAGTGACAGTAGGTCAACAGACCTTCCCAAGAGGGTCACTCTCCCTCCTCGGTGCTCTGAGGGTACGTGTGTGGCTTTGGGCGACACAGGCAGGGGGTCTTCTCTTGGTAAGAGGAGGCAAGCACAGCAGACTAGCCCAGCAGAGAAGTACACTTTCTGGAATCCACAGAGGCTCTGGCCTTTCATCCCCAGGCTCAAGCCCAAGATTGGGGCCGGGGCTTTGTCAGGGGCGCCTCCCTGCTGCCCTGCCTGGGGCCGCTCCCCACATGAGCAGAGAGAGACAGGAGGCAGGCCCCTCTGACACCTACTTAAGTGAGGCAGCTGGAGAGGAGAGCCTGTGGGATGCCTTTACTTCCCCCCTCAGGAGGCGCCCAGCAGGAGCCCATGGTGTCGGCAGCTCCGAAATCTGATTTCCACACATCCCTCCTCTCAGCCCCCAACCAGAACAGCCCTGCCCCTCTGGCAGGAGGAAGCAAAGCATTAAGCAAGTGTGGCTCTGGTGGAAGAAGGGGTTTGAGGAGACCCGAGGAGACCTTCTCCCAGGAGCCTGCGCTTTGTTGCAGTCTCTACAAGGGTAGCTGACTTGGGAATCAGTTACTCATTCATTGACCCAGGGGGACTAAAGGGGGACATGAGCTGGATCTGCCAGGCGTCCTCAGCTACAGATGCATACTTTATTAATAATCTCACAGACACAAAATGTCCAGGGAAAGTCTAACAGGCTCATTCCTGACAGCCCCAGATAACAGCAGGAGGGACTGAAGCCATGCTGCCTCTCGGGCCTCCACACATATGCTGCACGCACAGCGGTCCCATTCCCATCCAAGGGATGCGATGCAAATAAATAAATACAATTATCTGCAGAACTTGAAGTGCAAGGATGACACTGCGAAGTCCTTCCCCCCAAGTGCAACGACTTTTGGGAAACAGATAGGGTAGCCCAAAGAACAGCTGGAAAGTTTAATTGTGGACAATACCGCCAAGGCACACACGCTGGCTTCCCAGGCCTAGCCGCTTGCCGGGGCCTGCCTCCCTTACCTTAAGATGCAGAAGCAGCTCTTGGCTCCAGAAGACAGGCGGCAGAACCCAAACCTCTGCTTGCTGTCAATGTCCGTGAGCACAAATGTGAAGTTCTGGCCGACTTGGCTGACTGTGAGGCTGCGGCCGAGATAGAACAAAGAGGAAAAAAATGAATGTGCAGGGAGTTTCTTGATAAACTATCTAATCACAACAAGTCATTGAACCTGTAACATTTCCTCTCTCAGTGGAACTCTTTACAAATGAACTTAGAATTTACACGCTCCAAGGGAACAGACTGCAAACCAGGAAAGGAGGAGGAAAAAAAAGGCAAACAAGACAGCAGCAGCAGTTTCGGAGTGACCAGCTTGGAAATCAGAATCACCAGAGCCGTCACGTCCTCTGCGTACTGGGTTCAGAGCCGGAGGTAGCTCTTTTAATCAGCCTGTCAATTCTGAAAGATGCATTCTGATAACCTCATTTTACAGATAAAAAAGTAGTAAGTAGAAGTGGCAAAAAGCTGGGTTTTTAAAGCCTGGCTCTGACTCTGAGGCCTACCACCAGCTTCTGTTCGTGGTGCTCACTTGGTCGCTCAGTCAGAAAACCATCCCAATGGCAACGGCCTGCCAGGTGCGAGAACACTGCAGCCCATTTTGCATAGACCACGGCATTCAGTCTCACAACACTCACGGGACTTACAGGTTGGTCCCATGTTACAGAAAAGGAAACTAAAGGACAAAATTGTAGAGAGTTATCAAGGGGAAAGGTCAGGCCTTACTTTCCTGAAACCTTGTGTCATAAGTTCCAAATTTATGAGGAACACATTTCATACTTTATGAGGACTGAAATATCAAAAGATGCTTTCAAAGAAGTGTAAGCAGAAAGTGAATCACCTATAAAAGCATAATAAAAGTTGGCTATTTTTAAAAATTAAAGAGCATATTAATGGTCAATTTAACCTAGAAAGCCCTTTCTTGTAAAGTGACACATTGTTTCAAAATCATTATTTAAAATCCATTTACCAGTTAGCTTGCATTTCTTTTTTTTAAAATCCCAATTTCTAATCACAAATTATACTAACATTGTAGAATTTGACACTGATTTATTCAAATGTCAAATTTATCAATTCATATTGTATTTCATACATCATGAAGCATTTTACAAAGTATACCCAAACTGGTGAAATACTTCAAATCCCTGTTATACCTATAATTTGCTTCCTAATTGTCAGAGGAAATGAAAAATCACGGTTTACCAGTCCCTTTCAAAGGCAGAATTCCTATTCAGTTTTTTAATCTGATACAAATTTTCAAATACAGAATGGACTTTCTTTGAAAACCTCCCTATTTGAGCCACATATGAAAATTAAAATTCTTTTTAATTTTAAGAGGCCCTGTCCAGTTATATTTAAAGAACTAGTCCCAGATTCTGGCAAGTGGTTAGAGAGTACAAGAAAATAATTCAGAAAGAAGAGATACTGTTCTACTCTCCTTATTTAACTAGGAAGGGGAAGAAAAACAAGGGGGCAATAAAGCAGGTGTAAGTAATGGTATCCCCGCACCTTCCACATTTCTATAAAAGTTATAGAGCTGTCAGGGGGACACCAAATGCTACCTTCTTATGGCTGTTATGTTCTATCTGTAAAGCTTGGATACTGTGTTACTATGGTGATTTAATACTATGTTTTAAAGGGGGATTATATGATTAATTTTAACAAGGTTGAGAACTGAAGATGTGTGAGAAACAGGATTCTAGCTCACATAATTAAAGTGATCAGGGAAAAAAGTGGGCCTCAGTGGGGGGAAGGGAAGACCTGTTTTATTAAAATATTTCAAGCAACAGGTCTGGATGTTTCTAAGTTACAAACAAGGCCATGCTTTTGTGAAAGACTAACATGTGATTATATGAAGCATGACTGTTCATTATTTTAACTCAGGGTTTGCCCTCGCTTCTGGAATATTCACAGTAAATACTCTGCAAACGTCCTAAGAAGAAGGATGGGTATTGATAAGACAGGATCTCCCTGTCTTTTCACTATCTTTGAAAATATAGCAATGTGTTTAGCTATGTTGTAGCCAAAGAAAGATTCACAACACAGTGATTTGGTCAAAATTTGCTCAATCAGTTGCTAACTGGGCCTTAATTTAGCAAGTTACTTTAAACATCTGAAGTTCCCCAGTCTGGGACCCCAGGGATGTTGGGAATAAGTGAGATGAGCATTCAGTAAGAGGCCCAGACACAGCAGGAGCAGTTCATCACAAAGATGTAAGCTGCCACCAACTGAAGGAGAACTAAACTACCGAAAATCACAGAGTTTACTCACAATCTTCCTGTGGCACTCAGCTTTCTCAGACCAGCGAGTGCAAGAAGCCAGTCTGCCTCTCTTTCTCTCTTGTTTGTTGCATTAATTTAGGCAACAGTAGCCCACTAGGCAACCAAGTAGCTCATGTTTGCATTAAGGTGAAAAGGATTGCTTTTAGAAGAAGGCATTTACTATTTGCAACTAATTCACCCTTTAAATGCCTGGAAGGGTGAAGTATAAATCACCAAAAGTCCAAAGTAATATTCCTTGAATCATTTCTAATAAACTAAAAATCTGGCAAAGGCAAACAGAGGTTTCTTTTTTAGCAGAATTCTGAATTTCCAAGGTATTTTTATCTCTCTCTCTCCTTACTGAGGTAGTCACTGGCTGTGCTCACTAACTACACAAACATGATTTTCAAGTGAAGCTCTACTTCCATAAAGGCTGCAGTTTTTTTTTTTCTGTTTATCTCCAAGATCAGCATTTATAATTTCTACAGGAACCAAAGTTTTCACAAACATGGATTAAACATGGAAGAAATTGTGGCCAGATGCAAAGCAACATAAAGCCAACAATTTATAGTCCTTAAAGGGTAAAGCCAGAAAGGTGATGTCTCAGGGCTGCCTGTTTGCCCATGTCCTAAAGCATAGACTGCCTTGGTACTTTACCTCAACTTTCTGGCCAGAGCAGGGGGACCAAGTCGGGCTCTCACAGCACCTGTGAACTTCAAGCACCACCACAATGAAGTGGGAAGAGATGCGCTGTCACCCATGGGTGACACTGCCAGAGATCCACATCTCTGTCATGGTTTTGCCATACCAGTACCCTCTTTCTTGTAGCTCCTTTAGCCCCCAAACACCTTCATCCAGCAGAACAGTGGTCCTACAGACCTGAGCTCAGCTATCCTCTCCTCTGTCAGCAGATTAAATATTCTCTCTCCTTCACCCCAAAACTCTGTCCTTATTTTGACACAGCACCAGGGACAGGGACTGAGCTTTTGGTACCAGGACCTTAGAAACCATCTTGTCCAGGCACAGCATGACAGCTCAGTGGCCAAATCCTCACCTTGTACGCACCAGGATCTCATATGGGTGCCAGTCTATGTCCCAGCTGCTCCATTCCCTTCCAGCTCTCTGCTTCTGGTCTAGGAAAGCAGTAGAGGATGGCCCAAAGTCTTGGAACCCTGTACCCACATGGGAGACCCAAAAGAAGCATCTGTCTCCTGGCTTTGGATAGGTTCAGCTCCAGCCATTGAGGCCAAGAAAGAAAAAAAAAAAGAGAAAGAGAGAGAGAGAAAGAATGAATGAAAGATCTATTCTGCAAAGATTTCTACTCAGATATGAAATGAAGGTTGTAAGAAATTCAGACTTGCAGTTTCCAAGACTCTGCTTCTCCCTCTGCCAGAAAAGTCCAGTTTGAGCATCTCCAGAAACAAACCCAAGCAACCAGATCCAAGACCATCCTTAGCTGTGCTTGCAGAGCCTGGCTGAATCGGGGGAACAGGGGAGGAAATCACGGACCATCCCAAACACAGACTTTAACACCATCATGCTGCCTTTTGTATGTTCATGAGCCATGCAAGGCTCCTGGAGCAGCAGGTGGCTTAATCTAGAAGCTGTTAACATATCTGGTGTATGAACACCCTAAAGCCCACGGATGGGCATTTTGATCTCAGCCTCGAGGTGAGGAATGAGGTTTTATGTGTTAGCCTCATTTCTTAACCATTTTGCAAACTAAGTTACAACTTTCCTGAGCTCTCTACCACCTGTTTTTAGTCTGTAACATTGGATAAGATAGACAAAGCCTCTGCCCTCTTAGAGGTTACTGTTAAGTCGGAAAGGAAGAATAATGTATTGCACAAAGCTTTATTAGTAGTGTTTCTGTGTGTCACTATATTGTTATTATTATGAAGCTAAAGAAGAAACAAAGAAGAAAATGACAGGGAAGGAAAAGGCCTCCTGAGATACACGATTGACCCAAAAGATGATATATGAAGCGGCTGTTCAAGGAGCTTGAAACTGGGTATCTCAGAGAGAAAAAAAGACCTGTGCAAAGATCCTGGGGCTGGGAAGAGCACAGTTACAGCCCAGGAAGTAGACAGTAGCACCAAATGGTGTTGCTAAGTAAAGCAAGCACCAGACCAGCTAGAGGTTCTCATGATCACAGGAAGGAACTGGGACTTGATTTGTTCACTTACTTGTTTATCTAGGAAGGGCAATGGAAAGCCAACAAATGGTTTTAATCAAGAGGAAAAAGTCTGGCTTATAGAGTCAAAAATCTGATGTGACTGTTAAGTGGCAAGCACAAGCAGGAGCAGGGAGGTGAGGCTATGCCAGTGGGGCAGGTGAGACTGGACAACAGCTTCATGCAGGCAGCGAGAGCAGACACCAAGGGGCAGACAGCTCAGCTTATAGCGAGCAGGTATGGAAGACAGGCTTGTAGATGCACTGAGAACCAGGGAGCCAAAGGGCACAATTTTACCATTTGACAACAAAGAAGACTAAGAAATTCTGGTGACAGAGGATAGGTTATCCCAGGTTCCCAACTGGGATAGGTGAAGTCCAAAAAGCCCATCGAACACCTCTGTAGAAATGCCATGCAGAGAGTTAAGCATACCAGTAAGGAAATCGGAGAGAACATTTGGACAAGAGTTATAAATTTGGAAATCATCTACACACAGATGGTATTTAACACCATGGTGAAGAACGAGAGCACGGAGCGGGAGAGTTCAGAGAAACAAAAGAGGATCCAGGACTAGTTTACAGGAACACCGATTTAGAGGATGGGTGGGCACAAGACCATCAAAGAAGAAGAGAACATTCAGGCAAAACCTACAGGA